AGCTTTGAAATCCTGCGGGTTGGTGACTGAAAGAGTTGAGAGTCACAGTTTTTATATGACTGTTTTCCATCTTTTTGTTTTGTGGACATATGTTTGAGGTGGTTTACAGTTCTATTAGGAGAGAGATGGAGGTACTCTAGGTGGGTGTTGAGTGGCTAACTGCTGTTAGAGGGCAAAATAGGATAACCTTTTACAAAAAACCTGAGGTACCTGATTTAGTACTTCGATTATTCTAGTGATTGTTACACTGGATCAGAAAATGGTTTACCTTAAAACATTTATTGTAACAAGGTGAAAGTAAATGTGCTCTAACTTTTGGGTTGACTCTAATGGGTAGAGGAATTGCAGATGTTAGGATCAGGTAAGAAGGAAGATTGAACTATTTCATGGTCCACTAAGTGAGGGGCTTTTTGAGGGGTGTTTTTTCCCCTCCCCTCCCCTCCCCGAAGACAGGGTCTCAATTTGTCGCCTAGGCTGGGATGCAGTGGTGCAGTCACAACTCACTGCAGCCTCAACCTCGTGGGCTCTGTCAGTCTCGCACCTCTCCTCCTAAGTAGCTGGGACAACGGACACGTCACCATGCCCAGCTAATTTTTGTATTTTTTGTGGTTGGAGATGGAGTCACGCCATGTGGCCCAGCCTGTTGTTACTCTTTTTTTTTTTTTTTTTTTTTTTTTTGTATTTTGAGACAAAGTCTTGCTTTGTCATCCAGGCTGAAGTACCGTGGCACGATCTTGGCTCAGTGCAACCTCTGCCTCCCCGCTTCAAGCAATTCTCCTGCCTCAGCCTCAAGAGTAGCTGGGATTACAGGCGTGCGCCACCATGCCCAGCTAATTTTTTGTATTTTTAGTAGAGACGGGCTTTCACCATGTTGGTCAGGCTGGTCTCAAAATCCTGACTTCATGATCCACCTGCCTCGGCCTCCCAAAGTGCTGGGATTCCAAGTGTGAGCCACCACACCCTGCCTGTTGTTCTTTTTTCTTTGAAGAATATACCTTTATATTTTATTATCATTTGCTATGAATATCACTAAACGTTGTCATTGTCATCCTAAGTGAGATACTAAGGCAAGATATTTTAAGGCCTCCTTTTGTTATGTAAGCTGAATTCATAGCTTGAGGAAATAAGTAGGAGTTTCATATACTTCTGTGTCAACACTAAACAGCATTTTTTCGTGGCATAAAATCGCATTATCACAAATTACAGGTACGCTATTGGGTTTTTAAAAATTTTGATTTTGGTTCTTGAAGTCATACATAGATTTTATACTTTTTGAGAGAATCGAGATTCCTTATTGTACAACACTAAATGGAATAAGCAGTTGTAACTTTGAATCTTCTGGAATAGATGTTCAGATGATCACATTTTCCATATCTCTGATCTAACTGTAACCTCTGAGGGCAAGGGCTTGTTTTATTTGAATAAAGAACCCTGTAGTGCATGATTATGCAGTTATGGTATAACTTTATACCATAAAATAGTCCACGTACTGTTACACTGTGACATAGCATATGTACTATCTATGTTATAATTACGGACAAAATATAAAATAATACGTATTCTAGTAGTATATAATATGATTGTTTGGCTTAAAGCTGCTTTTTTTGGCAAGAGCATATTCATGGACAACTTTTTCCGATGAAAATTCACTTTCTTTGGGAAGCCATCTGTCCTCCTAGGCTAAGTTTTGTTGAAAGTAGTGAGGGGGGGGATAGAGGGAAGGCCTTTAGGTTACCATAATACCTGGACTTAGTTTTTATATTGTGAGGTTAATTCCTGTCTTGATGACGGCACGACATATGATTCCTAACATATTGCTTAGCATATAATTTGTGTTAAATATTTATTGACATTCTGAACTGTGCAGTATTTTGCTATTAATAAAAATGAGTCGGGACCATTGGGTTGCACAGCTCTGTGGCACACCATTCGCATAACAATAAAGATATTCTCGGTTCTGAGTTTGCTTGCTGCATAAATGTCTTCAGTCTTTGGTACTTACTGCTATTAGAATATAATGGTATTTGAACACAAAAGTATGTATTTAGCTTATATTACATATAATCAACTTTAAATAAATGAGATCTATAATGATTCACCTGCTCCACTCTCACCTTCCACGTCATTTCTCCCCCGCTTCCTATTGGTTATTTTGTTTGGAGTCAGCACCTTTCTAACTCCCCCATAGCATCCCACATCATTAGCTCCACAAGCATCTTCTCTACTAGGGTCACCTTTAATAACTATGTGGCGGACAATTGACAATCCAGATGACCCTCAGATATATTCTAGCCATTCTTGACTGCCTTCCGAAGTCAGTATTTTCAGCCAAACAGCGGAACTTAACAACAAACTGTGTCTAAAACTTAAAACTTAATTCTTCATTCATCCAGATGCTTTCCCTGTGTTTTTATACTTTTGTCTCTTTAATGTATGTTTTCTGGTTGCCTGAGTTACAGATATTGCCATCTTTATCCTGCAGTTGTATGGACTTAAGGTGTCTTCTTGGTATTTCTTTCACCGTGTGTAATTTTTTATGCTCTTAGGGTTCCTTTAATGATGGTGACTTATATGTAAAATTGGAGCATGTAAAAATAATTCGTGGCAGAGCCTTGTGGGGTGGGGTTTGTGGGAAGTCTCTAAGGCGCACGCTACAGCTGGCCAGGCTGGTGTTTGTGAGCTTTCCCCTCCCCCAACAGAGGTTGATTCCTTTTTCTCCTCTTTCCCACTCACTTGTTTATTTTATTCCATTTTATCCTCATTTTCCATTTCTGTTAACTCCTAAAGCACCCATTCTGATGCCTTTCACTCTGTTATTTGTGTTCTTATAAAATGTATTTAGTGTGTTTGTATTTTTAACTTACATAAATGATACTTAATTCTCTTTCTTACATTTTTCTAAGCACAGGGTTTTAAGCTCTCTTCCCTGTTGCTATGCAAGCATCTAATTCATTTCTTTGAACAGCCACAAAGTATTCCAAGGGGTATACTCATTTTGTCTTGCAGAAGCCCAGGTTGTTTCCAGCTATCCCTCCCCACTGACAGTGCTACAGTGAACATTCTGGTCCATAATCTTTTTTGGACCTCTGTAAGAATGAAGCAGAACTGCAGGGGGATCATCGGGTTTACTTAAATGTGATTTGACTTACGTTGTGCCAGATTATTCCCGAGAATGGCTGTACTCATCTCCATGCCCACCAGTAGCAGGGCATGAGAGCTCCTGTGTCCTCTTAGTGTGTTCTGATTTTCTAATTTTTTGCCAATCATACTGTACACTTACATATGGAGACTAGATTATGGACAAAAATAGGTCAGTCTTAGGTGTGATGTGCGGGAGATGGGCTATTGGTTTACCAGATACGAAGACATGCTCCAGTAATACTACACTATATTTATTACCGTAGCCTTGTGGTAAGATAAACAGACCAGTGAAGCTGACTTGGAGCACCTGGAGATGGACACATGTAGATGTAGGATTTTGGTATATAATCTATAATTATGGTGACACCAAACACTGAGGAAAAGATGGGACTGTTAATAGATGGTATAGGGATACTGACTCATCATGAGGAGGCAAATAAAACTGGATTCCTACTTGACACTGTGTATGAAGATAGACTAGGTGGATTAAAGGCTTCTCTGTGAAATTTTAAAACTGTTCAATGAAAAAATTGTGACCCACAGGCCAGAGGGATTTCCTAAGTGTAGCTTCAAAATCACAAATCTTAACAATAAACTAAAGCAAATTTTATATGAAATTAAAATTTTCTTCTTAATGGACAGGATATTTTCTTCTTTTTTACCGCAAGATCCAAGCATCTGGCAGAATGCATTGCACACTCTTCAGGAGTGGGGAGGCTGAATTGGCTGTGCACATATGTACTGTCTTGATAGAAGGAAAAAAGCCTCTGTTTACCAAGTTGCCTCCATTTTATTTAGCAATGAAACTGTAAGCCACATGACAATTCCCTTTTTGTAAGCATATAGAGGAGAATATTGTAGATCAGCGTTTTCTGAGTATATTGTCTATATCAGAATTACATGAGGCAGTTGTTAAAAATGGAAATTCCTCTTTTCTCCATCTCTCCCACTGTTTTGGTTCTCTCTCTGTCTCTGTCTCTCTCGCCATATATATACGTATATGTATATATGTGTGTGTGTATATATATATATATGAAGTGTGTGTGTGTGTGTATGTATATATATAATTTTAAAAAAAAACAAAACCTCTCTAGAGTGGACGTTGGCAAAGTTATTTAGCAGAAGTCCAAGTAGTAAATATTCTAGGCATCATAGGCCATTTGGTGTCTGTTAGAACTGTTCAACTCTACCCATAGCACCAAAGCAGCCATACACAATTCATAAATGAAAAAATGTGGTTGTGTTCCAATACAACTTTCTTATGAACACTGGTTTCAATTTAATAATTCAATATAAAATTTATTCTATTGAAACTATTAAGTTTTCATGTGTCACAAAATGTTAGTTTTCTTTAGATTTTTTTAATCACTTAAAAATGTAAAAACCATTCTCAGCTGATAGATCGAACAGAGGCAAGTAGAGGGCCTGATTTGGCCCAAGTGAGTCATAGTTGGCCAACTCTTGCTCCTTACGCAACTAAGGTTTTCAAACCAGTGCTCTAGCTTATCTGATAGTTAACGGTCATTCTCTGTATTATTTGGGGAAAATTCTTGTGTCGGAAATAAGAATTTTCAGTACCTGTGAGAGAAGGTAGTTCTTAATGGTCAGGAAGGCATAAGTAGATAAATGTCTTAAATATATCTAGTTTAATGTAAGTCTAATGTTGAAACATTCGGTTTTTTAAATTCCTTTGAAGGTTTTTCAAGATTGGGTAATGGAGCTGCGTGCAGTGGTGCATTCCTGTAGTCCTAGCTACTTGGGAGGCTGAGGTGGGAAGATCGTTTGAGGCCGGGAGCTGGAGTTCAGCCTGGGCAACATAGCACGACCACAGTCTCTCTTTTTTTTTTTTTTTTTTTAACTAAAAGAGTTGACAGTTTTATTTTTACATTTCCCAATACAAATGAAAACTGCATCTTTTTGCCCCACCTCTCCCCTCCAAAACTATTCTCTTTGATCAGACAGGGGAGCAAGTCTTCCTTATGCTGTTTAGAAAACCCAGCATCACAGCAGCATGATCTCCTGGTGAAGCCGAACAGGTAATATAAAACTGACAGAATGAGGCCTCCCCTCTATCCTTATCTGTCTGGTCGAGTCATTCCAGGCCGAGTGGGCACCATCATGGGACGGGCAGGAGGTCTCATCATTGGGGGCCCAGGCATCATTGGCATATGGCCTCCCATGGGTGGCCTCATTCCAGGAGCAGGTCCCACCGGCATCATCCCAGGAGGAGGAGGGCCCATCATTGGCATCATGGGAGGGCCCCCCATATGGGGTGCTGGCATCATACCAGGGCGAGGAGGACCCGGAAGACTTGGGGGAGGTGGTATCATCGCCCCTGCAGGAGGAGGAGCAGAGAATGGAGTAGGAGGTATCTTTCCTTGTTGAAATGCAGCCGTTGTTTTGTCAATCAGGCTCTGAGCCTGCTCTTCCATCCATTTCTGATAGTAGTCTTTCACATTCTCTTTGTGTTTCCTACCACTGCAGTGTGTCTTTCTCACAGATGGAGAGTCATGGGTGAAGTATGTATCGCAGTAGTCACAATAAAACTTGGGCATGTTGCTCGGCAAGCCGTTGGCCACTCCGTTCCGTGACGCCCGGAAATGACCCCACAGTCTCTTAAGAAAAGGGTCAGGCATGGTAGCTCACACCTGTAATCCCAGCACTTTGGGAGGCCAAGGTAGGCTTATCACTTGAGGTTAGGAATTTGAAACCAGCCTGGCCAACATGGTGAAATCCTGTCTCTACTAAAAATATAAAATTTAGCCAGGTGTGGTGTCACATGCCTATAGTCCCAGCTACTTGAGAGGCTGAGGCACAACAGTAGCTTGAACGCAGTGGGCAGAGGCTTAGTGAGCTGAGATCATGCCGTTGCACTCCAGCCTGGGTTTTTTTCCATCTCAAGAAAAAAAAAAGGGTAATAGAGATGGAAACTGGAATGTTTAAGGCTGTACTTAATAAATCTTGGAGTATATCATTTGAGATGGAATTAGATGAGACATAGAAAAACAGTCTTTTTTACTGTCTAAAGTAATAATAGCTGGGTGTTTAGCTGCTTTTTTTTCCTTTTTAAATTGATTTATCAGGATGAATAAATAGCTGCTATCTTTAAATATTCTAAGGGCAAGGGCCAGGTAGACTCAGCCAGGTCAGTATGTTAATCATGTTATTACATATTTTAAGAAGATAATAAACAAATTCTTAAAACTCACAGAAGAGGAATTTATTGTATAAAAGAATATAGTTTCTTAAATTTCATGGAATGATCTTTCTGATTGTTGTTAGAAGAATAGACTTCTGTTCCCTTTGGTCCATCAGTAGAGGGTGATCATATAATTATTAATAATTGCGTCAGGACAGTAGGCATGAACCAAGATTGTCTTGGGCAGAGCAGGACATGTAATGATCTTATATACCAGTCACATATAGTACGTTTTACATAAAGGGTGGATCAGTGTTTTAACTTTCTAGATGAAAAAAAGACATCCATTAATGTCATGACATCAGTAGAACATAATGAAATGAGCGTGTTCAAAGAAAAAAGGGTGATAAACCTTAGTATGATAAATATGACTGAAATGAAGTTTATTTTTACACCCCAAGGGTAGAAATGCCCTGTGGTATCAATATTTTTGAAAATATATTTCGTATCTGTGTGTGTACATGTACTTTTAAAAATTCATTATTTGGAAATAGTGAATTAACATGATAGACAAACAGTAGAAAAGGGTATACAGGAAAAATAGGTTTTCCCACTTCCAGCCCCAGAGGCAATAGCTGTTACCAGTTTCTTGTGCATCCTGTGTGAGTTACTTAGGTATACTTACATAATACACACCTACACCCATGCACATGTGTGCACACACACACACGCACACACCCCTTTCCTTTACCTCCTTTTTAAAATAAACACAAATGGTAATTTGCTATAAACACTTCTGTACCTTGGTTTTTTTTAACTTTAGATATCTTGGACTTTCCCCACTGTTTGCACAATAAACTTGTACAGCAATTTCTTTATTTACAAATGAAGAAAGTCAGGCTCAGAGTTTAAAGTAACTTGGTTTAAGATAACATATATTAAATATTTAGGCTGGGAGTGATGGCTCACACCTGTAATCCCAGCCCTTTGTCAGGCTGAGTTGGATGGATCCCTTGAGGTCAGGAGTTTGAGACCAGCCTGGCCAACATGATGAAACCTTGTCTCTACCAAAAATGCAAAAATTAGCCGAGTGTGGTGGCCATGTGCCTGTAATCCCACCTACTTGGGAGGCTGAGGAGGGAGAATCACTTAAACTCAGAAGATGGAGGTTGCATTGAGCTGAGATAGTGCCACCGCACTCCATCCTGGGTGGCAGAGCAAGACTCTGTCTCAAAAAAAAAAAAAAAAATTAGGTAAGCAGGTACTTAGTAAATGTTAGTTTCCATCAAGTTCTCTTGCCTAAATATGTCCTTAATGCTTTATAAACTTGGAGGAGGAAAATAGGTCAATATACTTAAATGCCCACGTAATATGATACTGTCAGTGACTACCTCGACAGTTCAGATACGGGAGAAATCAAGTGGTTTGGTTGGGGAAAACTTCATGGAAGACTGTAGAGAGATTAAGTAAGAATTTAAACAGAAGGCCAAAAAGGAGGACATCTAAGAAGGGAAGAGGGGATAGCATTAGCAAGAAAGTCCTAACTGAAACCAAAGAGTGAGAGACGTTGGTAAGCCAAGGGAGCCTGATAAGCAGTGGAGAGCATGAGTTCATGTGGTCTTTAGTGAGTGGCTTCTTTCATTTGGCACAGTGTTCTCAAGGGTCATCCATGTTGTGTCATGCATCAGTACTTAATTCCTTTTTGTGACTGAATAGTAAATGTTTCATTGTAGAGATATGCCACATTTTATTTATCCAAATGGTGGACATTTGGTTGTCTCCACCTTTGGCTGTTACAAATAGTGTTGCTATGAACATTCATGTGCAAGTTTTTGTATGACTATATTATATTTTATTGTGAACCTGGGAGTGGTTTTGCTAGGTCAAATGATAATGAATGTGTTTAACATTTTGAGGGGCTGCAAAACGGTTTTCCTAAGTGGCTGCAGTATTTTGCATTCCTGTTTAGCCAGTTCCCATCTTGCTGTTGTCCATGTTGGTTTAATGTAGTTAGCCTAGTGCGTGTGAAGCGTTGTTTCATTGTGTCTTTGCTTTTCTTTTTTTACGTTTTTTTAAATTTTACTTTTAAGTTCTGGAATACATGTGCAGAATGTGCAGGTTTGTTACATAGGTATACGTGTGCCATGGTGGTTTGCTGCACCTGTCAACCTGTCATCTAGGTTTTAAGCCCTGCATGCATTAGGTATTGGTCCTAATACTCTCCCTCCCCTTGCGCCTCACCTCCCAACAGGCCCCGGTATGTGATGTTCCCTTCCCTGTGTCCATGTGTTCTCATTGTTCATCTTATGAGTGAGAACATATAGTGTTTGGTTTTCTGTTTCTGTGTTAGCTTGTAGAGGATGATGGTTTCCAGCTTCATCCATGTCCCTGCAAAGGACATGAACTTATTCTTTTTATGGCTGCATAGTATTCCATAGTGTGTATGTGCCACATATTCTTTATTCAGTCTATCATTGATGGGCATTTGGGTTGATTCCAAGTCTTTGCTTGTAAATAGTGCTGCAATAAACATACACGTGCATGTGTCTTTATAGTAGAATGATTTATAATCCTTTAGGTATATACCCAGTAATGGGATTGCTGGGTCAAATGGTATTTCTGGTTCTAGATCCTTGAGAAATCACCACACTGTTGTCTACAATGGTGTGTCTTTGATTTTCATTTTTTTAAAATGACATTCAGAATTGTATTTTGCTAATAGCAAATGATGTCAAGCATCTTTTTCATGTGATTATTGGGTATCTTCATTGAATCAAAATTGGCATATCCTCATTGGAAAAAATGTCTGTTGTAGATACTTTGCTTGTTTTATTAATAAAATTTGGACTATCTTTGGCTGAATTTTAAAAGTTCTTATTTATCTATCTAATCTAGACGAGGTTTCACTATACCTCCCAGGCTGGTATTGAACTCCTTTGGCCTCAAGTGATTCTCCTGCCTCAGTCTCCCAAAATGCTGGGATTACATGTGTGAGCCACTGTGCCTGGCCATTAAAAATTATTTTTATTCCAGATAAACATTCTTCATCAGATATATGATTGACTTACAAGTGTTTTCTACCCATTCATTGTGTTGTCTTTTTATTTTCTTGATGGTATCGCTTGCAGCATAAAAGTTTGCGGTTTTGCTAGGCACGGTGGCTCACACCTGTAATCCCAGCACTTTGGGAGGCCGAGGTAGGTAGATCACAAGGTCCAGAGATTGAGACCATCCTGGCTAACTAACTTGGTGAAACTGTGTATTTTTAGTCTCTACTAAAAATTAGCAGGGCGTGGTGGCACATGCCTGTAGTCCCAGCTACTCGAGAGGCTGAGGCAGGAGAATCACTTGAACCTGAAAGATGGAGGTTGCGGTGAGTCGAAATCGTGCCTCTACACTCCAGCCTTGGTAACAGAGCGAGATTTCGTCTCAGAAAAAAAAAGTTTGTGGTTTAAATGAAGGTCCAGTTTACCTATTTTTTCTTTTGTTGCATGTGCTTTTGGAATTGTATTTAAGAAACCATTATCTAACCCAAAGGTCTACTCTTTTTTTTTTTTTTTTTTTGAGACAGGGTCTTGCCAGTCCTTGCAGTGAGCAGTGGTGCAATCCTAGCTCACTGCAGCCTCGAACTCCTGGGCTCAGGTGACTCTCCTGCCTCAGCCAAGTAGCTGGGACTGCAGGCATGCACCAACACATCTGTCACACCCGGTTGTTTTTTGGTTTTTCTTATTTTTTTTTGGAGGTAGGGTGTCTTTCTGTCACCCAGGTTGGAGCTGTGGCATGATCATGGCTCACTGTAACCTCAGGTTCAAGCAAGCCTCCCACTTCAGCTTCTCCAGTAGCAGGGACTACAGACGTGCGCCAGCACATCCAGCTAAATTTTTTCTTTTCTTTTTTTTTTTTTTTTTTTTTTTTTTGAGAGACAGGGTTTTGCCATGTTGCCCGGGTTGGTCTTGAATTCCTGGGCACAAGCAGTCTGCCTGCCCCGGTCTCCCAAAGTGGTGGGATTACAGGTGTGAGCCACCACCATGCCCAGCTTCTTCCTATGTTTTCTTCTAAGAGTTTTATACTTTTAGTTTTTCTACTTGGATCAGTAATCATTTTGAGTTAATGTTTGTATGTGGTATGAGGAAGAGGTTCAATTTCTTTTTTGTTTTGTTTTGTTTTGCTTGTGGTTATCCTTTTGTTCCCAACACTATTTGGTAAAAAGACTCTCCTGTCTCCATTGAACTGATTTGGCATTCTTGTCAGAAATCAATTGACCCATGAATGTAAGTTTATTTCTGGGCTCTTACTGGATTCCATTGATCTTTGTTGTCTGTTCTTTTGCTGGTACTACAATGTCTTAATTTTTGTGGCTTCATAGTAAGTTTTGAAATTGAGAAGGAAGTACTCTGGCTTTGTTTTTGTTTTTGTAAAGATTGTTTGCCTATTCTATGTTTCTTGTATTTCCATATGAATTTTAGG